GGGGATAATTTTGGGGGCATGGAGTGTCACTTCCCACACGTTACATATGGTGTCTAGGACAAGGCAGGCTGACCTCCCTGGTCCCTAGGTGATGTTAGTGTTAAATAACAATAATTCATCTTATTAGCAATATAACCCTTGTTTGTAAAAGTCAAATAAACCTGCGTTAAGGTACCTTAAAAAAACACCAGATCCAATCCTGCTCCCATCCAAGTCACTAAAACAGCTCTTGTTGTTTTAAAAACAATCAGGAGCAGGGTGACGTAGAACTCTTTTCCCTTTCCACGAACACTTTCAAGATGTAACATGTCCCCTGTTCTGCTGCTTTGGCCTTCTCAAGGTTTCTTTTGGCAAGAAGAGAGGTACCAATCCACCTTGGAACAGCGAATAGTCCCAGGGTTAGAGCATTCATGTGGATCGCAAGAAAAGCAGAGAGAGCGAGAGAGAGGTCCTCCCACCCCTGAACAGCTAATCGCCTAGGGGTTAGGGCATGTATGGGAGGATGTGAGCAATTCAAGCTTCTGCTCTGCCTTTCTCCCACGGCCTAGGTGAGTGCCCTAACCACCTGGCTCTTGGCTATTCGCAGATGGATTTCCCAGCATTTTGTCTGAATATTGCTGATCTGCTGAACAATGACTGCAGATCAGGTCCTTCATTTGCAATGAGCCTTCTCCACTAATGTCTAGTGCTGTGTCTCCATCCACCAATTTTGATGGTAAATTCTGCTTACAAACCGATGGCATGACAAAGGCAGCCATGCTCCAAGACACCCTATTCTCTTGAGTTTATTAATCGTTTGTGCTTGTGGTTATGGGGATGAGCAGGATGAAGAGTGGGCTGAATTCTCTAATTCCCAAACCTGGGCACCTGACTCAAGCAACCGCCTTAGTCCCATGTAACACTGACATTAGCTAATAGCCGAACATGACATTCAACGCAACTCCTGTTGTTTCAGAGGAGAGACGAGAAAATAAAATGCACAAAAAAGAAGGAGGGGGAAAAGAATCTTCTATTTTGGTATACTTAACACATACAGTTATCTATGTGTCCTATATATCATTTAACAAATTGCTTTGCAATTCTTACAGGGCGTGGTATAATGACTGATTTAAAATCACTGCATTGCTTAAACTGCATTGTTCTTCATCAAGTTGAGTCATTTTTATGTGAAGTGTCAAGCTCTCTAACAAATAACTGCTGCCAGACAAATCAAGTTCCTCATCTTAAAGCTACGGCTAAATAGTTTATAGCTTTAATCTGCTCACTGAGGTGTGCAGTCTATGACAGTAATTATAAATGCAAGGAGAAATTATAGCTGAATGCTTTAACTGCATTAGGAGCCATTTGATGAACAATCATGATTGCCTGCTCATTTTCAACAATAGAGGGCAAGTTAGTGTCAGTGCATTAGAGGATTTTCAGTTCTGCTCTGCTCTTTCTTCCATTTACCATAGAATGTCAGTTGTCTCCTATAAAGTAGAAAAAAACCTCTGTAGATGCTTTAAACTTGATGGTTAAAAAAAGACAAAGGAGGAAACAGAGAGAAAAACTGTTTATCATTATGACTCATTTTTTGTTTTGCAGCAGCCTTACTTTCAAATTAGTTCATTTCAGGTAGCTGCTTGTTTACTTACCAGGGGCTTTTGAAAAAGAAATCTTCCCCACCAGCCTGGTAAATTTAAATTTATAAAGACTCATTAAAAAAAAGTTTTAAATAATATTATATAGAGCATCTAATACTGAAGTTCTGTATACACCAGTTTACAGTCACTGTCACCACCTGAATTTAAAGGCAAGGTACGTGATTATATATACATCCTCCTCCCAGAGGAAAACGTATTTCTAATTCAGCTGCAGAAATGAACAAATGTTTTTAAAGGTATAAGACCAAGCAGAATTTTTGAGCTAATTAAAGCAACACTCCATAATGTTTATGGGCTTTCATTTGAAGAATAGCAAAAACAACAGAAAATTTGCAGCCGGTAAAATGAAATGCCATCAGATACTTAGAAATTGAAAATAACATTACATTATACTACTATACACATTTTGGTTTGAAGAATTCAAGAAAACCAAAAAGCAGAGATGACTATAAAGCAGACACACATTTACATTTACCAGGAATTTATTCCAAATCACTGATAAACAGCTCCACTGAAGTCTTTAAAAAACACCACGCCCACCTTTTCGTATTTCCGCCTGCCCCTTCATGAATTTATATTTTTAATACTATACACCTTATTTTTCAAACATGGATTTCAGCAGTAACTTTCATTTTCAATACGGGAAATATTTTAATCACTGCCATAGTCTGGATAATTTTTTCCCACTCTTTTTGCTGCATTTTTTATTAGCACTTATATTTTGTTTATTTCTGCTTTGATGCAACATTTTGTACAATTAATGCAGAAACATTTATGCATTTTAAATGTCTAAGTATGCTTTATATTTATTTTCTCTAAATACTTCACACTTTTCAATTACCATACATATTAAATACATGAGTTTCTGCTGGCACAGTCCTTAAGAAGTACTGTATGCTAAAATTAGAATATATATTGAATCCTTACCATGCTGTTTTTAAGATAAGGAAGCTTTAAAAATCCTTGTTATTTGTCCTGGTCTTCTTGCAGAGATCAGGAAACAACCCATATGAATAAACTTCTGGCTCAACATTTTTAGCATAGTCAGAAGAACTTAGGCAAGCTAAGAGCTCAAAAATGGTAATAAAATCTTTACAGTGCTATCCAAAATACCCCATCATTTCACACAATTTGTGCTATCATGCATACCAACTAAAATTATAGTTCCAGGTAACAGTGCTATCACTCTGTCATCACACTTTAAATATATTCTTTCAAAGGTAGGATACAGTCTGCATGCTGATATATATTAGAAATGTGCGAGTATTAAAGGGATGACAATTTCTAGGTACCCAAAAACTAAGAAGGCAGTGTGTTCTTCATATAGGCATACCTCAAGTTAGTAAAGCTGGCAAATATATTGCTTTGGGTTTACTGCCACTCAGAACCCACATTTTTCTGAGCATTTCTAAAAGACTTCTTTTGGTGTATTCCATTCCCCAAATTTCATTAGAATAATAATGGGTATATACAGTTGTGTCTCCAGATTTCTTTAGAGCAGTAATGTGTATATATGGTTGTGTATTTGAGTTGTTTTAATAACACCACCCTTACAAAGGGACGTTAGACACAAATCAGTGAATATGCACCAAGTGTTAAGTCATGAAGATGCCAAAATAATTGTTAAAGTCATATATTGAGCAAATAGCTTTTGTTTGATGGGATCCAAATTATTGGTTTGCCCACTGGATCGCTAGTATAAAAATGCAAATGTCAGCACTTTAATGAATGCTTTCTGGTGGTGAAAAGGGGCTGGTTCCTTTTTTCTCCCCACCCCCCACAAGTCTCTCTTCATTTTTGATATTTTGGCATTTTTTGGATTTTGAACCATTAGGAAATGGCAAGGTGGAAAAATATCAGTTATGATCAAGTAAACAAAGGACATTTATTCATATTTTGTTTTAATTGGGCACTAAAGTTAGGTGAATGATGATTCCAACCAAGGAATATTGGCAGATTTTATTTTTTTTATTCTGAAACTCGCTTTTTCGTTCACATCTAAAGATGATGTTTAGAAAACGTACATTTTTCCATGATGCAGAACGCCTGCACATGCCCTACGCAAAACTTAAGAACTATTATATTTGAATAGTGAAGATTATGCTGTACAGTAATAGCTTTATTTACTACTTTTCCCCAAATTATCCCTTTTTGATAATTTTTTTAATGACTCCAAAGTAACACGACTTAAGCCATAAAGAGGGCTTGTGCCAGCTCCAAGAGCATAGGGATGAAAGCAAATTTTAAAAGCTGGATGACTCTTTGCAGCCAACAAATTTGAAAACTGTACACAAAAGTGAATTCATCCCAGAGTGTTCATACCCTTGTCTTGTCAGAGAACAGCAGTAGTATCACATGGCTCACATGGCAAATCACATAATAGCTTTCCTGTTGAATATGCATGATCAATCCATACTGTAAAAAAGTCCAAAAGATATTCAAATAAAGAATGCATTGGAGGAAATTTTAATTTGCCTGTGGATAGTCTGCAAGCGGAGAAGGAGGCTGAATTTTCCAAAGACATTATTTGTTGAGAATTATTCACACAGCCCTGCTGGTTACAAATACTTCAGAAGTGGAAACATCTATTTGGACTTCCAATTGATGCGTTTCTTATTAATTTAAATCAAGAAATGTCAGGTTTGGGAGTTAAGTAATATTAAAAATGCTATAAATTATGTATCAGCTAAACAGTATATTAGACATCATAAACATTGGATGCGACTGTACTCCAAGTTATGCATCTCCTTCAGCAAAGAAAATAGCTACATTAGTACAAAAAGCATCCTGAAATCTGTCTTTTTGTCAAAGGTTCAGCTTGTGATAAAAGCTATTGATTCTCTCAATGAAGAATCTAAAAGCCCCATATTTGCCATTGATCTACACCCAAAACTTTCACTAGAGAACATGGGGCATGGCATGGTGATACTGAACTGAGCACTAGGATCACGCTGACAACATGGCCTGGAGCATTCAAGAATAAAGAACAAATGGATGGGGATGAAGGAGTGAAACGGTTACTCAAAATAACTCAGAAGAAAGTCTACTAGTATCACTGGTGAGGGAAGCTATTATAAAATACAATGCAAAACAACATTGCTTACCCAAAGGAGAGCAAAACCCACGTTTTAGATCATCAAAAGAATTTCAGTGTTCTTAACAGAATAAATGGACCAAAGCCTAGTTTTAAGTGACTAGGCATTTGGGATTATTGAGATTCTCATAATAAAAGTTACATTATCTTTCTCTCCCTTCCCAAAGTGAGTGTGATGGTTTATTAGCAATGGAAAGAAGAAAAATCAGTCAGTCCTTGGAACTATGAAGGAGAAGGGATTAAAAACACAGTGGAAACATGGCTGTGAAAGCAGAAGAGTAGCCATTTATTTGCTCTGTTCATGCTAAACTGAATAGTATGCAGACAAAAAATTATTCTTAGAAACAGGAAAATAGAGCTGTGGAAAAGTGGGGAAACAATTAGGTTGAAAACATTACAAAAAAAAGCAACTTTTCAATACAAGCCAATGTAGTAATGCATTTAGCAAGCTTTGTTCTTCAGAGCAGTGTAAAAATGGACCTGCACATCTAAACTGACTAATGCATCAGTATATTTTACATTTCACGGTTTTCTACTTTTAAGAAAGCACAAGTGCTTCAAGAGATCTCCTTACAGTCATGAAATTTAAACTCACTATGGAGTTGGAGCATGCATACCTTAAGAGTTATTCTTCATCCACTTCTGCTACAAATTGTGAGTGGTGTTCTGGTGACTTGCTGTGTGTTTTGCTTAGATGAAGTTTTACTGCATGTTTGCTCGCAAATGTCCGACAGCACAACTTACATTTGAACTTAGAGTCTGTGTCCTCTTCTCCAGCTATTGTTTCAGGCGATCTTTGAACTGAAACTCTAGAGATTTCTTGCTCTACCTTGGTTTGCTGTTCCACAGCCAGCCTGTTCATGTCTTTCATTTGGAAACCTAGATGAGATTCTAAGTGACTAATGTAAGTCGATGGCGTTCTAAACTGAGATGCACAGTCACTGCAATAAAAGATCGGGTGCCCTTTGTCCATGTTTTTCAAAAACTTTGTTCCTCCAGTTTTCCGCAGCTGGTACTTGACATTTGCCAGCCAATGGCTGATGGTGGTCATTGACAGTCCAGTAAATTTAGAAATCTGCATGCGTTCTTGAGGACCGAGATCAGATAATAAATATTTACCTTCAGACGTCTGGAAGAGGCTGGAAGCAAACTGAGCTTGTAAAATCAGGAGATGCTGAGGGTTCCAGTTGGACTGCCTGCCTTTGCGTTTATGTAGAGTGGAAACTTCTGCGGAGACATCCTCAAAACGTCGGACGTCCATTTCCAATTTCATCGACGGGATCCTAGATGATGCAGCAGGTTTTGGTGTTGTAGCTTTGGGAAGAACTTTGACCATGTCTGCAATGTCAGACAAAGCATGTTTCTGAGGTGGGGAAGTACAAGATTGTGCTTGTGCTGACTCGGCTTTCTTGCTTTTGGATTTTGTCAGATCTATAGGCTGATCGTTGCTTTCAAACAAATAATGCCTGGATACATTTGCAGGCTTTGGTGGGGTTGGGGCAGGTGACAAAACAGGTTTCTCCATCATATTTAAATTAGGTTTGTGAAACATAGAAATTGTGCTCGAGCTGGGGCTGGAATTGGATTGGGCCCGTAAAGGCTCAGTGGCTTTGCCCAAGTGATTATTCAGTACAGACTGCAGGGCACTCAGTGGGTTGATACAAGGCAGTTCAGAAGAGTGGTTTGTGGCAGCACAGCCATTGCTAAGGGTAGACACAGTTGACTCTTTGGGTTTTGCCTTTTCCTTCTCAGTGTCTTCTTTTGTTTTGTCCTCCTCTTTCAAGGGGCATGGCTCTGTCTTCTTTGGCTCTACAGAGGCCTCAGATTTGGGGGGAGTTTCTCCTTCACTCTGACAGAGCATGGCAGGGTCAGGCTGGATGCCCTCTTTAGCATAGTCCTTTTGTACTTCTTCTCTGTCATCCATTTCCTTCTTCACTTGAGTGCACTGGGACATATTTGCTGAAAGAGGAACCAGAGGCATAACTTTCCACTTTGGAGCAATGGGCCTCAATTTATTGGTCATCGTTGGCCTGATCTGCAGGACTTGGGAACCCACTGGTAACGAAGGTTTAGCTCCCTCTGACAGCTGATAGGCTGCATGAATACTAGGATATGCACTCCAGCTGGGAGCTCCATTTTGAGCTTTGTTGATGGCTGTCGTGACTGTGTTTTCCAAGGACTTTAAAATATCCCCACCACCTTTTGAACCATCTTCTAAATCTTCTTCCCTTAGATACTGGTATTTCATGGTAGGGTCTAATGGTTTCTGAAGGACATCTTCATATTCTTCCGTTTTTACCACTTTCTCATCTTTGTTTACATCATCAAGTTTGTCTTTTTTACTCTCTTTCTTTAGCTCGGGTACAGGTGCTATGCAATCTGAAGACACATTACTGGATGGTTTCGAAACCTGAGTGTCATTGGTTGGCACCTCAGACAGAGACTGCATTTTCTCCACAGCCAAAGGATCTAGAACCAGTTGCTTTCCTTTCTTTGAAGCCGAACTTGTGACTTTCAAGAAATGGCCAGTGACCATCATGTGAGTGGTGAGCTGCTGCAAGGTGTCGTGTGAACTTCCACATTCCATGCACTTCAAAATCTGAGATTTACAGGCCTCAAACTGCCACGTGTAGCTGGCACCATTTTGGTAACCGTAGCGGTTGTTAGACGACAACTGCAGATTTGCATTCTTTTGAGGAGAAAACGTATCTGAGAAAGATCCCGTTGTGGAATCTGGGGAACAAGGCCGATTAACATCAAACACACGCTTCTTTGCTGGAGTGACCATTTTTGAAGAAATGGTGGGTACTGGCTCCTTCAAAGGCACTTTTTGGTAGTGTTTTGTTTTTATCATGTGAACACTCAGGTCTTGAAGGGAATCAAAAGAGTCACCGCAGAACATACATTTTAGGACTTTTTGTGCATCTTCCTTGTCCATATCCTGAAAGGCCCTTTTCCGGGGCTTTGAGTAGCTGGTCGGTCTGTGCTTGTCCTTTTTATGGTTGTCATCTTGGTAATGACCAGTTTCATTCATATGGACCGTTAGCTCTACCAAGGTGTCATAGGCAGCACTGCATTGCCTGCACCGAAACCTGCTAGCACCTGTGAATACAGTTCCACACATTTTGCTGCTTTGTCTGTAGAGCTGGACTGAACTGAACAGGTTTGGTTTGGTGACAGGTCTGGAAGGTAAATTCTGTTGCAAGCTTTTTGACAATGCATCTTGGTGCCAATCAAAGTCAGCTTTGTTACTTCCGTTTCTGTTGTCGCAACCCCTCTTCTCGGAGTTAGACAACTTGAAACCCAGCCCTAAGCCTGTCCAATAAGAGTCTGACAGTATGTTGGCATAGACTGCTGTCATCTTATCCATGCAATTATGTGCTTCATTCTGAGGTTTAGGGTGGGCACTGGTTTTTGGATCATGAGCCTCTCTCAAGCAAATGCTTTTAATATCTGCCACCTGGTCACTAGCATCACTTAATAGTGATTCATTTTCTGCATCCTGATTGGATATATGACTTACAGGAGAATTCTGGTAGCTAAAACTTCCTTTCTGCTCGGGACCCACTTCATGTTCTTCATCTGTACCAGTATCATTGCTGCCCTGAAGTTGGGCTGTTGAATTACTGTCATCACCATCCTCTTCTTCCTCCTTTATTTCTTCGTCCTCCTTTAAATCTTCCTCTTGGACATAACCTGAAATGTAACATCAATATATGAAAAAACACATTACAGGAGAATACTGCAATTTGATTTCTCTAGTTTCACTATGTGCTTCCCCTACAGGACTTCATTTTCATCTACAACTTTATTGTCTGTTAGTATCGGGAGTGAAAAAGCCAAATGATGTCTTTTTGTGGAGCTTGCTGCTTTTTATTGGCAGATGATCATAATTCCTTGTAACTGCCAGTGATTCTGAGTTAATAATTTTCTTGTCATAGGAATATAATTCTAACTATCCTGTAATGGGACAGCTGGAAAAATCATATGTGAGAATTTTAAGTTCATAGTAAAAGCTTCAAATCTATATCAAATTGTTATTGGCCTGAGAAAAAGTCATAGGCCAGGAATAGAAGAAAAATAATTACTGTAATCTTCCTGGTCCATTGAATCATCAAGGTACAGTAATCTTTTACTACTTGATCGCCTAAAATGTACACAGAATGTACACAGATATCTTTATGCCAACATGCTACACTGGAAATATTAATACATTTAACCTAAGCCCCCTTGTGTAAAAATGGGACATTCTGGATAAAGAAAATTATGCTTTGATAAAACAAATATTCTAGGGCAAGAGTCTGAGCACCCATGGAAGGGTGTTCCCATAGATGACAACGAGACCAAAAAAGTAAAGCAAGTCCAGACTGATCTCCTTTGACAAATATACTATTGTAATTAATAAGATGAACTTGATACTAGTGGAGCTGTAAATTATAAATTAATTAAGGAATTCAGTTATTATCTTGTGTGTGTGTGTGTGTGTGTGTGTGTGTGTGTGTGTGTGTGTGTGTCTAAATCAGGGGTAATGCCACTGAAGTAAATGGAACCTGGTAAAAATTGTCATGAGGGAGAAGTAAAATGGATTCGTAGACTGAAATCCTGGCCTCATTACTGTCTATTGCTAAATTCCCATTTGTTCAATACAGCCAAGATTTCACCCTCATACTTGAATGGGTGGACAAGTACCACAAATACTTTCTCACAACCCTGCTTCAGGCCATGCTCAGGCCTCTTCCTTGTATGCCAGGGGCCCGTCTACATGAGAGGTTTACTGTGCAGTTGACTGATTAGCTGCTCAGCATCTACATGTGAACCCCTATTAGGGTAGAGTAAACTAATTTACTCCACACCAGAATAGTACTTGAAAATATTTGTATTTACAAGTGCTAACCTGCTGTGGAGTAAAATAACTCCATAGTAGTGCACATATAGACCCTGGAAGGGATGGCTGGGGCACAGGGGTACTTCAGTGGGGCTGCTCTGCCCCAGCTCAATGTGCTGCGATCCCGGGAACATATACAGATGCATGCCTGGCAGCAATAAACTCCAGATCTAGCGCTGTGCATTAACAGGTACATACAGATGTGCTCTATAAGTAGAAATTTAGTTGACACAAGCATGCATGGTAACCAAACTTTAAATTCATCTTCTTACAAGAATTGTTTGGCTGGTTAGTCGAGGAGCACAACTGGTGTTTCTAACCCTCATGATTTCATTAAAAGATTCATGTTATTCAATATTTTTTCCTAAACTGTCAGCTCCTGGAATAAATATGCAAGAATTAGGAAATAATTTAGTAACAAAGTGATCAGGGCCTCATGATCGTGGAGAAATACTGGGAAATGGGAGCCCTCAAGGTTCAAAAACCAGAAGGAAAAAAAAAAAATCAAAAAATCCATATTTAAATTAGTTGTTAAAAATCTCTGAATTTTTAAACCAATCTTGTGGCTACTGGTGCCTCTTCATGATTCCTGCACAGATGAATTTAGCATTACTGGGTAAATGATTCCTCAGTCAAGGGGATCCTTCCATTTGAAACATTAACAGTGGTGATGCAAATATGGGGGGGAAAGACCTTTCTGCGAAATAATTTTCAGAAATTCATTTCAAATTTTCAGCTAATCATAGCTAAAGCAAACAGAGCAGAGTTGAGAATCACATAAGGAACTTCAGGCTAAATGTTTGCTAGTCAAGGAAAAGAAAAAGGAGTTTAGAACAACAAAAAAATGAGTAGATGCTACGATCTACTTGTAGAGATCTTGTGAATAATAAACAAAAGAGATTAAATTCACAGGATACATTTCTTTTTTTGCAAGTTGTTCACTCGGCTCTAGGAAGAATACTGATTACATCATTCTTACAGCCTTCTCTGGCTGATTGTTCCATGGGGATGATACTAGCAAGCTTCTCAATCAGAGGTAAAGATAACAGCAATGACTATGAATGAATGACTACGTGCCATGTATAATGTGATGAAATAACAATAATACATATCATAATGATAATAATACTGTGTAATTCAATAGATTCTTTCAACCAAGAATTTCAAAGAGCTTGTCAAACACCAAATAATTAAGCCTCTCAATATCCTCGTAGCAGTGGCTCTCAACCTTTTTAGACTCAAGGCACCCCTCAATAGACTTTGAGGCATCTCTTAACAGACTCAAGGCACCCCTTGGAAAATGCCGACTCTTAGTTTTCACTTGCCTTCTTTACTACAGAAAGCTAAGAGCCATGTCTTCTGTTGCAAAGAACTCAGAAAGACCTCACCAGGTCAGAATGGTTTTAACACTATTCATTCCTATTTGAAATCTCTGGATTTATTATATGAATCAAGTTTGCACACCTGACAGTGCAACATCATGTAGCATCCCTGAAAGGATCTCAAGACACCCTCAGGTGGGCAAACTGAGGTACAGACAGGTTAAAGGATGTGTGCAGGGAAAGGCAGCAATTACAGGCAGAACTGGGAATAGAACTCAGGTGTTCCGACTCTAACAACTAGATGATGTTTTCCTTGCCTTCCCTTATGAGCTCGTGTGTGTGTGTGTGTGTGTGTGTGTGTGTGTGTGTGTGTGTGTGTACGGGGGCGAGAGCTATGACACATCATGAATAGTAATCTTGTTAAACAAACAGCATGAACTGATGAGCAGGACTGACATTGTTCTCGTGGTGTTAGAGATACTGTATAGTGTAGGTAGCAACACTGGACTCCTGCCAACATGTATCACAGTGCCAAGCATATTACAATGAGCAAAACAAAAATAAAGAGGGAATCAGCTAAAGGAATCATAAGAAAAGCATGCACAATAAACAGATTTCACAGTTGTGGGTCGGTGTTGATTTGATTCTCTGTTTCTGTATCAACTAGTGGAATAACATTAACCCCATTTTTCATGAGAAAGGGCATTTTTTCTTTGGAAGCTAAGTACTGGAGTCTCGTCCTCACAATAATCTGTCCTTCTAAATGAATTTACTAGAAGGAGCAAAAGTGCCAGACAGCTGCACATACCCCACAATACAGATAAAATGTTATGCTTAATTAGGCATTGACATGTTTACTATAAAATTTACAGAAGAGTAACTCATGCCAAGAAGTCCTCTTTCTTTATTTTCCCTTTTTTTGTGTCTGCATAACATACAGACGCGATCTAATGAAAGCGATAAGGTAACTTAACAGGAAGCACCATCAAAAATTCACAAAAGCATCAATCAAGTCTGTTTTAATAATGGTTAAGAAGTCCAGGTAACTTTAAATACACCTTTTAATACCATACATTTTAAACCATTCACTTTAAATGATTTCATTTGCTCCTATTCTACCATGATTTCATTGCTTCTATTCCACCGTGGAGAACACAAAACACCAGCAGACTCTTCCTATGCCTGAAGAAGGGTGTTTGTGCCCACAAGTTTGCATAAAACAATTTGTCCAACTATTTAGTTGGTCTAATAAAAGATATCACCATCTGCCCAAAGAACCTTGTCTCTCTTCATTTGTTCTGGGCATTCTGAGAAGGAAGGGAAGGCCTTTTGAATGCAAGCAGGCTGCTAGTATAATAAATGCATGTACCCTCCCATCTAAGATCTGTTTGGTATGGTTTCCCATTTGTAAAGCATTGTATAAATGCCTACAAAGTGGATGAATTAATTTAAATACTTATTTAATAGACAGAACAATCTGAGTATTTTAGAAGGAGATTTTGGTTCTGCACCCTGTTCATTTACATGGGCTTTAACCCTGGCTACACCTACACCTACACACACACCCCACCCCCTCTCTAAATAGAGAATGGTAGTATCCATGTATTACATTGCATATGCAGTTAATAGGTTGTATTTAAAATGCACAATAAGCAAACTCACTGGCACTTTACCCACTATTTTTTCTCCTGGACTTACTCTAACATTCCCTACCTCTGAGCAGTTCAAACAGTTCCCATGAACACAAACACATAAATGGAATAATAGCAGATAAACGCTTCCTTCTTTTCTCCAACTCAGAATTTTTCCAAGAAAATTAAAACTGTCTAGTCAAAGGTATAATACAGGCAGTTGGCAATTCTGAAGAAATGATTGGCTTTAAGTCTGCTATCTTGCCAGCTAAGCACAAAACAGGAACTTTCTAGTCTTGGATATGGGCAATTCAGGGCCACCTAGAAGAAAATACAGCACTTTCTTTTAACTTAAATAAAGCCTGAAATACTGAATCTCAAAATCACAACATTTTTATGGCCAAATAAAAATAACCATAGGTCGGCGTGAGAAGTTTCTAAACTGTTGTTTGCAATGCTTTATCCCCCTTTGAGCTTTCTGCAATTGCCCGCAGAGGAACCAAAGTATCTTGGGGTTATAGGGGGAGGGGGAGGTATTTAGAAAATAGTACCTATTTTTTAGCTAAAATTTCCCTAAAATAGTTAAATGGAAACAAAGTAATTAAATAAATGGGCCAATCTATAGTAAAAATTCACAAGCCATGTTGTGGCCTTCAAGCCCCATTTTGATTTATCTTAAAAATTCGGTCTTTTTTGTGTCAAACATACTCTGTTTAAGTCCCTCACACCAACCCAATAACATGCAGCCTAGACCAGATTATATATCAACTCTGAACTTGGACAGGAGTGTGTGAATACATTTTTTTTTAATATGCACTTTTACCATTAATTTTCTAGAAGCAGATTTTATTTTTGGTC